GTGTTTTCTTGTTTTGCCTTGCATTGTCAGTTTTCTCGGGTCTGATCTTTGCCTGTCTCCCTGGATTTATCCTTCTAGTCTCGCCCCTGTGATTCTGTCTGCCGATCGTCGACCTACGCTAGCCCTAGGACTATTCTTGTGTTTTGCCCGCCATATACCTGTCTGCCATTATCTGACCCATGCCTGTTTTATGCCCACGTCTCTGTCTTCTCCTAATAAAGAGCTTGCATATGGATTCTCACGTCTTGTCAGCCCCGTTACAGATAGTGTGACCCTCAGATTTAAAGGGACAGTTCACTCAAATTCAAGGTCTTTCATCATTTACCCTTATGTCATTCTGAAACTGTATGAATTTCTCTCTTGAGAAAGGTGCTTAAAAGGTTCTTCACAGCGATTGCCATAGAAGACCATTTTTGGTTCCACAAAGAACCACAGTCAAAGGTTCTTTAAAGCAGCACTATGTAACTTTTTCTGTGTTCAAAATTTGCAAAATGTATATAATGAGCGAGTACATCATGAATTAATCTTCCAAACCGCGTTTTTGTCTTATTCCCGAATCACTACAGTACACTTATAATAAGTACTTATATTTGGACTATTGTAGCCTGGTCGGGTCGTCACCGCTGCGGAGTAACACATACCTGCGTGAAACCCCATAGACATAAACTTAGAGAAGTAGCTCCGGTTGGAATGTTCTTCCGCAGGATGTGTGCAGTTCTGTTTATTAACCGCTAGACCACCAAAAGTTACATAGTACTGCTTTAAAGAACGATCTCTTTCTTACCTTTTTATAACCTGAAGAACCTTCTTTCACCACAAATAACCTTTTGTGAAACAGAAAGGTTCTTCAGATGTTAAATGTTCTTTGTGGAAGCATTTAGAAAAAAAGGTTCTTCTATGGCATCGTGAAGCACCTTTATTTTTAAGAGAGTACAATTCAAATTCGAATTCAAAGTTGTTTGGTTACCAACATCATTCAAAATATAGTTTTTTGTTCTGAAGAAAAACTAAATGCATACAGATTTGGAACAACAAGAGGATGAGTAAATTATGACATAATTAATTTTTTTAATGAACTATTCCATTAAGTTAAGCATTTTAGAGGGCAGGTTAAAGTTGTTTAATCCCATTAGCAAAATCCTGAAAATATATATTAACTATGTAAGGGTGCTTTCACACCTGTAGATTGATTGCTTTGTTCCGAAACGGGGATTAAAATTATTACAATGTTGCTTTTTATTCTTAATGCGGTTCGCTTTCACATGGCAAAGTTTCTAAATGGACCAAATTTGTTAATACAAGTCATGCGCAAGTAAACTGTTGTCTCATTGGTCAAAGTTCCACTGTTTATCACGGCTGTCATCCGTAAGGATGGAACGACAACAGCTATTTTTTGTAGCTGTCCATATATTAATTTATCATTTTGAGCAAGAGTCCAGGATTCATCAGGAAAACATTTTTAAAATGCACCTACTAGGAAGAAGAGCAATACGACGGCATTATAAAATGAAAAAGTGCGCTTTTTTATTTTGAATGGCGAAGACGTGCTCACTTACAGACATTCACAGGTTAATTTTGAAGTATTAGCAAAACAACAAAGCTAATGCTTTTCACGGAACTTACGTAATTACCCATTATACATTGTGATATAGCCTGGTTCGTTGGTCCGTTAGATCGGATTTCTTTCTCACGACAATCGAACCGCTCCAGGGTTCGTTTTCAATCGAGCCGAGACCACCTCGTTCAGGCGATCTCGGACCGATTGTTTTGGCGCGGATCCTGGCGCGATTGCCGTGTTCACATATGCCTAAACGAACCAAGCTAAGGGGGGAAACGCGCCATGTTCCGAAACAACGAGCCAGGTGTGAAAGCACCCTTAAAGCACATTTGCTACAAAAATTTAATTGAGTTTCATAGCTGGCAACAAATATACAGTACAGACGTCTGACACGTGATAAAATGTCACTGCTGTAGTATATTCAGAGCTAAACCAACAGCAGCACAACATGATACATGTTGTAGTGATGCAACTGTTGTCTGAAAATTAAACATACACAGATACACACTCACAAAAGAGAGTAAAAGGTCATGGTGCTAATAGATCAGATGCATCAATGACAGATTAAAACCTTGTCATGTAGGTCACCTCCTGGCGCCATGACAACAGAGCACACTGTGCTCACATACTAACCTCTCATTTATCACGGCACTCATCGGTAAAACACAGAACCCTGAACAGAGATTCAGCAGCCACACTGGCAACAAGCTATTTTTGACAAGGTAAAAGGGTGTTGTTTAACATGACCATTGAATAATTTTAACCAAAGTATGTTGTAGACATTTCATTAAGACCCTAAAGAATCATACCAACTTGTAGAAAATGGACATCCGATTTCCCCTTTAAGTAAATGTAAAAAAGAACAAAAACATGAAAATATAATCAAAAACGAATAATTACAACTGAATTTAAATGATAAATTACGCTATTTACATTTCTGTGAAATGCTGTAAATAATAAAAATTAAAAAAACACTGTGGGATTTTCTTCATCTTTTTAAAAAAATAATCTCCAAGCTGGTTTCAAACCAAAAGAGCTCAATGGCACTTCACAACAAGAAAGAAAGAGGCAAATCAATATCTGTCAAAAAGTGAACTCCTCTTTCAAACTCTCCTTCTGTGGAACAGCACTTAGGCGTACGTGATCCGGTCTGATACTTCATAAATAAGCATCATTCCCTCCGTTTATAACTAGCTCAGGTGTGAATCACTAGCTGTTATTGCCATTTACTCTCCATCAAGATGGCGCAAGGCTCTGCAGATGGGTCTTGTAAAGCTACGGTCATTCTATTCTAAGAAGTCTGTTCAATTAGGCTTCTCTGATTTCCCCGGAGAGCGCTCCTCTCTTTAAAACGCATCATTAACACAGGCTTACCTCTCCCAAAGGATGGCTTCACCCACATCCGACGCAGAGCAGACTCACAGCAACCGCACGCTAACACACACAAACCATCTTTTGCCATCGACCCAAACATTTGAGGCCTAGAAGATGAGGGCCTCTTGAAGAGACTATAAACTAGATATCCACAAACAGAATTGTATATTCCACTTTGATTTCGGAGTTATGTCTGTGAAATAACTGATACTTATTATTTTTGTGCAGATAGAAATGTTAAGGCTTGTACACATTTCATTCGGTCACAGACAGATGATGTGGTGCAATTACATGAAAGATTTTTTTAACACTGGTTTATGTGGTATAAATTAATATATTTCACACTGATGTACACTCTAGTAATTCTAACTGTATTTTTGCCATATAAATATTTTAAGAGTATTTCAGTTTCAAGAATATGCCTGTTTAGTCCCAAACAAACTTTCCCTTAAAGTGCCCCTATTATGGGTAATGAAAGGTGCATATTTTGGTTTTGGGAGTCCCTAACAACAGGTTGACATGCATGCAAGGTCAAAAAACACTTTCATTGTATTATAATATGCATTTATTTTTGCCTTGCATGCTCAACGACTCCCAAATGATTTGCTCAACGATTAATTTTTCCAAACCCCTCCTCTGCGTGACACTAATCTGCAGTGATTGGTCCGATTGGTCTCAGTTTCATTTCATCATGAGCCTGTAATGCTTGATAAAGCAGCGTTTGTGAGCACAGTGCTGCTTTGTGTACAGCGTTACCGGGGAAACCACTATTTTTACCGCTCCAAAAGCGGCACCTAGTGGCAAAGAATGAATTTGCATTTTCATTCAGACCAACTCGAAAAGACCAACAAGTGGGCGGGCAATATGCTAATGTTTCATGTTGACGTCAATATGAAACGCTTGGGATTCGTTTTAAAAACGACTCGTTTCAATGATTCAGAGTCGACTCTTTCTTTTGAGAGACAATAACTTTATACACGGTGCACTTTCAGATTTAAAACTGTGCAGGATGTTTTCATTCACTTAGAGCTGTGTTACATACTGCAAACAAGGTGATTTTCAAAAATCCATAATAGGGGCACTTTAAAAATGTACTTCTTACCCTAAACAATAACCAATAATATTTTTTGCAATATATTTGAATGCTTAGCTAGAATACCATTTATTATTGTGAATATATATTTTCAATTACACATTGTGATATGAACAATCAGTCAGTAAACATACTAAATAAAATTTCATAAACTAAAATATCTCACTGAGAGTTTGGGTTTCAACGTAGCCAACAACTGACTCACAGTTTAGTAAGGAAGTTAGTTGTGAACTTCAATTTCAATTCACCGACTTGTAACAATAACTATAACTATAATTTTTCAATAATCATTCTATGACAACAATTGGGAAATTCCACACCACAATAACGATACAGATGAACAATATTGTCGGAATCTCTTTCAAAACTATTTTTCCATCTTATAAACAATAAAAACATTGACATCCAATCAGAATCTACCTGTTTTTAATGAGCTTGAGCATTTAAAGCGACAGTACAACATAAAGTCAGCTTGAGTTTATAATGAACAGAAGGTTATCATCCGTTGGTGTGAACGCTAATATAGTTATCGTTTTAGATTATATCTCATATTTATATTTCTTAGTATGAAAAGGCCTTTAGTCTGATTCAAATCACTAACTCACAAGCTAATTCAAGATCATCCTATTTAATGAATCCTTTTGACTGACTCATTAAAAAGAACCATTTCTTAAGAATCACCTGTGTTTGTTGTTGCAATTAGCTCTCCCACTGAAGTTTTTACTAATGCCAACTGCTTTATAGCACTTGCCACTGATCAATACATTGATGAAAGGAAAAGTAAAAAATGTCAACTAGATATTAGCTACAACATATCTTCAAAGTAATGAAAAACCCAAAATGTCCTTTTTGTAGATAAAACAAACAGAAACCAGGTTAGGCATCTGAGGATTTGTATTTGTGGCTCAGACACTTGCTTCAAAGGATCATGGGTAGTGACAGGACACAATTCCCCCCGCCCACCCCCCGACTCACCCCTGACTTCTCATCGAAGATCTTGATCCCTCCAAAGGACACAGTGAGAAAAACTTTCTGTTTGTGTTCTCCTTTAGACCGCGCAGAGGCTGCGATTCCCTGCAGACAAGAAGATGAAAACAGAAACATGAGGGAAAAAAAGAAAGAAATGAAGATAAAACAGAAACAGAGCAGGGAACGTCAGCTTTTGCTACTTGCTGCAATCCTTGGGGAGAATTAGCTGTTATGAAACTAAATTGATTCATTTTCTCTCTATTTTCAACAATTTTGGGCTTGGAGGTTCTGATATCCCTTACAAAAAAGAAATTTATTCAAGTGTGCTATTAGTATACTTCTTTTAAACTAAAAAAATAGGAAAGTATACTTTCAGTCTACTTTTTATGTACTTCTCAGAAATGTGCTTTATGTACTTCTCAGAAATATACTTAAAATGACATGTAAGTATACTTGACTTATTCTTAGAAAAAGTCTGAATTTATTTGAGCTATAGGCTACTTGTGCTCCGAGAATGTTTTAATTGTTATACGGTAGGGGGGCGCTATTACACATCTTCTGTACAGAATTTCCAAAACACAGAAACAGCGAAGTAGAAACCGAAAAACAACAGATGCTTTCACGCGTAATCTAACATGATCATCAGACATAAAACAGCATCAAAATTGTGTAACGTTGTGGAATAAAACATTGACCCATGAAGAGGTAATAATGATTGTCAAGCTTTTGGACTCCGACTACGTCGTAGTCTTTTTTCAGCTTTTTGTTTAAAATGTTGTTTATTTATTTGTTTATTTTTTATTTATGAAACTTACCCACATTCAAATGTTTATAAAAAAGAATGCATGAAGCTAGAATAAAATGTTTTTGTTTAGTAGTAGATACCCTGTTCTTTCTTTTGATGTTTTGTATGTTCAGATATTCATATAACAAAATATATACACATTCTTAAATAGGGACATGGTAGTATACTTAAAGTATGATGTAAATTTTACTTAAAGAACGTATGAGTATACTTGTAGTATAAAACTACTAAACTATTAGTTTACTGAGAATATACTTCAAAGTGTAATACAAATGCTACAAGTATCTAATTCGTAAACTATCAGTATACCTTTAAGTTCACTTTTAGTATAGTTGCTGTACAAACTAAAAACATAGAGGTAAACTAGTTGTGTACTCAAAGTTTACTACTGTTATACTTAAAGTATACTTAAAAGTATACTTTTATACTAGAAAGTGGGCCAATTTAGTCCAAAGGAGTATTGAAATAGTACACTTACAAGTATACTACTAGTACACTGATATTTGTATACTTACTACATAAAGTATACTTAAAAATATACTTGAACTTTACTTAAATATACTTAATAAAATAAACTTAAAGTATACTTTTTTTTGGTAAGGGATGACTGGTTCGGAGTGACTGGGGACATCCGATACTCTGTAATTACACCATTCTGCTGATCTTTCTCTACTGACGGTCATTCAGAAGTAAAAATATTTAACCCCCTCCAGTTCTTCTACTCGACTCTTCCCCAAAGGACCACACGAAAATGATAGACTGAGCTCATCTATGCAGAATGTTTACTGAGAATACACGAGAAAACACCAAACATACAAAATGCTGCTCATCCGGTCACAAAACCGTCATTCACCTCGACAGTTTGGATGAAACTCAAGAGAAAATGGCTGACTTCACTCATTTTGCATCACTCATTTTGCATTTTGCATTAATGATAAACTTAATACAATTATATTATAGCATGAGCAAACATTTCAGCACAATTCATAATTAATTTCTTTACCCTCTTACATACGCATCATCCAAAACATGGCTTAAAATAATGTATCCTCATGTAAACCATTGTTTTGAGAACAAAGAGCAATAAAACTGCAAATTAAACTTGCATCACCGTGTGAACCACACACATAAATAATTGGCCAACACTCCAAAGTTTTGTCCCTATTTTGGAGTGTTTGGCTTTGTAATAGGTCATTCTACAGCAGATGCAAGGAATATAAAACATAAATCGAAAAACAACAGATGCTTTCACACGTAATCTAACATGATCATCAGACATAAAACAGCATCAAAATTGTGTAACGTTGTGGAATAAAACATTGACCCATGAAGAGGTAATAATGATTGTCAAGCTTTTGGTATTAATCATTTCTTTGGTATTATTGCGCGCATGCCAGCCAATAACTTTAAATTGTTATGTACAGTTATCAAGTAAAATACAAATTTAAAACAAGTCACTCAAAAAAAGAAATGAATTAATAAAGATCCCATATGTGCTTTTGTTTTTTACACACATTCAAAATGCCACATATTAATATATGAAATTGTTTGAAAATTTTCTCAATTTTCTCGAACATTTAAGTCTATTGAATTATCAGCCACAGACTGAAATGCTGACTGTTCACTTTTAAATTTAACACTTAAAAGCCCAATGTGGAGCAACAGCCTTTGAAGCTTTTTTTTTTCCTCAGGGATCACTGCTTCTTTTGATGACTGGTGGATCGACCAAGATAGGCAAGAATGAATATAGGGCCAGTTAGACCAGTGCCTGGGGCCTCTGCCTACATTTTACCATACCATACAGAACTTTATATTACTTCACTGGACAACGGAGCAAACCAACCCCGTGACATCCCACACTGTGTATTGCAGGATGGAGGCGCCCTTATTCCAAAAGCTACAACAAAACATCCCTTTTTCCTTTGAAATGGTTACATTAATTGTGTTTGTTATATATTTTTTAAATTATGGAAATCACTTTACTAAATAATGTAAACTTGACTGACTGTTTCACTTCCATTTTACATTTACAGTAAAATAATAATTCACTAATATAATATTAATTTACCAACCTACTGAAGAAAATCTATATTGTACCTGTTATGACAACCACTAAAAAACATAGATGGTAATTAGAAAAGGTATGCATATGTAGAATCAAAGCTTTTCCACAAGCCAAAGTATACTAATATTTAGAAAGAATATACATTATTACCACTGTATATAGCAAGGGAACTAATCATTTACTAATTAACAGGTTTTTACAGTAGCATTTTTATAATCTTTTACCATTAAAATTACAATAATCTTTTACAATATACGAGGGGCAGCACTCTGAAAGGTTCATAATTACCTGGCAGAAGGCACTGCAAATATAATATTTATTAATTGAATAAAACACGAAAACAAAATAACATTATTAAATTACAAATAAATGAAGGTGACTTTTAGTTCTTAGTATATTAACACATTTTTGAATGTATGAGTACATTTTGCACTTTTAATAAACCAAATAGCAATGCATTTTATTTTGTAATACACAGACATCTGTACTGTTCACCCACACACAATTCACACCGGACACAATTCATTTTCAACAAGAGGGGTAGAATGAATGGAAAGCACCATCCTTCTGTAACACTGCTGCGAATGAGCGATAGAGAAGCTGAGAGCGGTATGAAGAAAAAAGTGCCACCCCAGATGGTTGTGCACCGCCTTTTCAGAATCAGTCACTGTGATGAGAAAGATCACACTTCAGACCAAAATCAACTTACATTTTTCTCACTCGTTCTGTATATTTTCATAAACCACTTGTCAAGTCAGATTTGCAAAATGTAAAACTGCAATTATGATCAATCAAAAGCCAAAACTTGTTCTGAAATAAAGCTTGCTTTGTATATCCAACCCATTCCAAGGTGTGTGTTTGGGCATTTCTCCAAACAGCTGGAGTCCTCAAGTCTTCCAGGACCATAATACGTCCTTGCCAATCAGTTGAGCCCGTTTCTTGATCTTCCTTCTGATTGCGCAGGGAGCATCATCCGTCAGTCATATGATGTATGTTAGCACACCATTAGCACATCCATATGTTCTGGCGGGGTGATGAATGAGCCGTTCTAATGCCAGGAGCTGGAAGATCACGGCGAAAAGAGCACCAGCTCTGACATTTCAAACTCAGATGTGGGAGTGTGTGCATAAGTGTTGTTGGAGTGAAGAAAAGAAGCAGACGTGAAATATAAGATGTGAATCACTATTTGCAGTCCGGTGTGCCTGGGGAAGGCCAGAGCAGAGCTTCCTCTGTAGGAGAAGCTGGACAGACGCTTAAGGACGTTTTTATAGTGCTACGTGGGCTGATTATCAAGGGAGGATGAGGATTATATGAAAAGACTAGTCGAACTGTTGTTTAAACTCTTCGTACCGACAGTGTGATGAACAGAGAGACATAAAAAGTGTGAGAGAGGAATAAGATATAAAAAATGACACTATGGGACTCATTTGTTTGCTAAGGAGTGGACGACTGTGGGAATATGAGAATAGATTATGTGTCTGGATGAGTGAGAGGTAAACAGTTCTGATCAATAACAGTCTGGACATTCCAATCAGACCAACATGCAAATCAGACGGCAAAATCACCCTCTCTCTTCAACACACTAAGGAACCAATCTAAACGCTGGTGAAAAGGGTGCGATGTATAGCGAACATACAATAAGACACTGATTTTCGGAGGCATCAAGACAATGTGTATCAATGTCTATTTATGTGTATCAGGGGCGTACTTGCATGCACAAATAGAGCAACCCACATACACATGGTAGTGTGATCCCTGGTGTTCACATGGCTCATTACCCAATCTAATGGATGTGGCTTATTTATTCAACCGACCGAAGCTACACCTTTATGTAGCTAATTAAATGAGGATTGCCAAAAACCTTTATCAAATTGTTTTTAAATAAAGTTAATTATAAATATTACTGCAATTTAAACCCTAAAACTACACCTAAAAGAAAAAACATTAGCATTTTTGAAAATTAACAAAAATATGAATTATGTTAAATTTTTTTTCTGCATTTTTTCCAAAGACGTGCCTGGACTTCCCAAAGGGGAGATTTTAAATTTGATCTTAACCAATATTTTTAATAAAAGTGTGAAATACATAAATAAATAAGCAAACAATGAATAAATATATACACCCTGCAACATATTCATCATAATTATTTACATCATAATTCTTTTTTTGAATTATAATCTGGATTACGTAATCAGATTCCAAAAATTACTCCAGTTACTTTTTTATTGATTACATAATTACCTATTCACAAAATAACAGTAACATTTTGTAAAAATTTTAAAAATGTAAAAAAAAAAAAAAAAGTAAAAAAAAAAAATAAAAAAAAATTATTTCACCTTTTACATTTCCCTTTTTAAATTCACATTTTATTTGTATATGTAATGCAGGGATTTTTTCAGCCAAACCTCTTTCACATAATATATTTACTTGGAAGTATCCTTATGATTTTAAGGCAATAAGTTAATAATCAAGTAACACATTTGCATGTTTGCAGTTCTCTGACATTGGTTAATTGTCACATTATATTGTTATTAAAAAAATTACTTTAATATTACGTTTGTATGATTTAATTAATTATTAGCCTTTCATTAAACTCATGAACCTCAGTTTGGAAAGCCTTGACGTAATGTTTAATGCACTTTATGTGTTAATAACAATGAATGGAATATATTTTCTTTCTCATTGTATTTTTATATCAATATGGTACAAGATTATCCTATTTAAGTCAATACATTAAACAACTTAGGTCAAAAGTAACCTAAAAGTAATCAATAAGTAGTTTGATTACATTACCGAAAATGTGTAAAGTAATGGATTACGTTACTAACTACAATTTTTGTCACGTAATCTGGAATCAGTAACAGTAACCATATAAAAAAGTAACCAACACACACACACCTTGAGTTTCATCATTGAGTCCTGACAGAGTTTGTCTCCTCTCGCGGCAGTGACCTCATCTATCCCGATGAGCTTGGCCTTGTAGCGAACACCATCCCCCTTAAAACGCTTTATCAGAGCTGCTTCACTGCGGTCCTGCCCTGGAGAAAGAAAAAAAGAGAGCCAGATAGATGAAGCATACAGTCATTTGATGAATTTTGCATATCTGCAGCACATCTCCTCCTCCCTCTATCCACTATCATCTCAAAATGCCATTACTTTTCCCGCGATCAGCACAATCTGGACCTTGCAGCTGACAAAAATACCAAGCGATATTCTAATAACCTGTATTTATCCCAGCCCACATCCTCATATTTCTAACACTGTGTTCTGTTTGAGCAGTTAGATCTTTAATCTCAATCTAGTTGTTGAGGTTCAGCTGGAGTTTGTCTGCATGAGCCTGTGGGGTTGTTCGAAGCCGGGGGGGTTTAAAGTCAACCCAGAGCTTTGAAAACCCTCCTTACCCCCAGATGCCCCACATTTGGTTCCATATTCGCAGCTCAGAATGAAGGTCAAGACTGCTGCATGTGTGTGGCTGTAATTTCAGGTATGTCATGCCCGAGGCATGACGGGGAAAGGTTGGTTTCTAAGTAACAATGCTGTGTCCAGGTCTGGTGTGAGGTGATAGGAGGGATGAAAGCTGAATATTTTTTTGAGCTCTCATATCAAAGTGGACGTCTATCAGCCAATCATGGCTTAGACAGATCAAGTGTTTCATCCCACACCTTCATCACAAAGCCTATAACTGGATAACTGGACTGGCCAATCGATGAGCCTCCAAGGATGTAGACCAATTAACTGGCTCACGCTCAGTGAAGCAAAGACAAACAGACCCAATTAGGTTTGAGCCTGCAGTTTGATCAGTGGACAAAGGCAAACAGACACTTGCCAGGACACACATGATTAACATTAATGACAGACGGCACAGCTTTATTAGGCTGCTGTCACAAGACCTATTTCACAGATCCAATACTGATACACCTGCGTTTTACTTCGCAACTGTTTACATTAACTTAAGACAAAACCGTCAGTGCTTTCTCAATTTGGTACTCGCAGTGCGCGCTTTGGATGTGACTGTGAGCGCACAGGAAAGCGCGAGTACCGAATGACTTAAAAAGACGTGAAAATATATTTTTTTTGTGACGATACAACAATGACCGATTAGACTATTGACAATTCTGTCAACTGTCCCGAAACGCAAGCTAAAGTCTTATATCGCAGCGTGCAGCAGCTCTAGATGCGTCGATGTGAAGCGAAAGTCAAAGAGAGAAGACGCGGTACAGCTGAATCACCTACGCTGTTTTCATCTGAACTGTCCCGAAACGCAAGCTAAAGTCTTATATCGCAGCGTGCAGCAGCTCTAGATGCGTCGATTTGAAAGTCAAAGAGAGAAGATGCGGTGCAGCTGAATCACTTACGCTGTTTTCATCTGATGGTTTGCATGGATTTATTTACTCATCTAACCTACACGCTATATTGAATAAATGTTTTGCAGCAATTTCCCTCATTTTAAAGTTGAAAGCTGTGGGAATGAGTAATGCGATGTATGCTCAATCCCGCAACGAATTTCAGGACCTGATTAAACATAATTCTATTATACAGAGAATTGTGAAATAATAATCTAAATATTTATTATGAATCATAACCAGTTATAATTCGTCATAAATATTTCCCTTTTTAGAGCTAATAAAAATTATTACAGCATTATGTTGTCATATTTATTACATGCTTACAAGGTTGGAAGTTCAACAAATCAGTCAATATACTACTGTGATTGTAGTTGTTAAATAAAGATGTCATTCATATCAATTCATGCATCACCTAATTTCATCGTAACATATAGGCCTGGCCTACAGAAAAAAACATTTATATTTAATCTATCTAATATTGTGTTGGTCATACTATACAATGATTTATAGCTTGTCTTTGTTGAATAATACAGAACATAAAGAGCTTTAAAATAATTGTATATTAAATCGCAATATTGGTAAAAAAACAATTGCAATTAGATTATTTTCCAAAATCGTTCAGCCCTATTTCTGATGTTCATTCATGTTTATTTCGAGCAATAACTAGAAAAGAGGAAGAGATGATCGGTTCACGTGCTTCTTGAACTGAGGTGCTACAGCGATCTGTCACGGACACATTGAAGAGCCACAAAACTGTATTTTTTGTTTGAATTTCTTTAAAAAATACAAAATTTGAAAGCTGACACTTTGTTTCATACCAAAAGGAACCTGCTCTGTCTTGTTTGTCGGTGTTTTGTCCGTTTCCTTTTTGCTCCAGTTGACATTGGTTTAAATTCTGCTTGGAGTGATGAGAGTAGGTCCAGTTACATTGGTGTTGTGATGTGAATGGAAGTGAGGTTTAAAAGGGTGATTGTAATAGAGGCCAGACAAGACCTGTGCAGGTAAATCTCACATTTGGGGCCTAAAGAGGAGCACTAGAACCTGATGCAGTGGTTATTAACATCCTTGTTAGTGCACCCGCCTCCCATGCCAGGTGATGCTGATTCGAATACACCTTGGAGCGGAGAGAGTAAGACCAGTTATGTTGGTGCCATGACCCGGAATGGGGGAAAAGGTTCAGGTAGGTGAGTGTAGTGGAGGCCAGATGAGACATCTGCAGGTAAACCTTACTCTTACAGTATCAAGAGGTACACTAAAAACTGATGCTGGAGGCTTTGGTCTTTTGTGTCCTTGTTAGCGCATCTGCCTCCCGTGCCAGATGATGCTAATTTGAAGCCTGTTTGAAGTGGTGCGAAGATCTCTTCCACAAGGCTTGTAGCAACGTAGAGACATTTGAGATTCTAAATGACAATTCTGGCCAAAACCTGAGGTAATTTACACAAGACAAACATGTGGAGAGGCACTCAGCAATTTGTGTGTATAACGTACCAAATATGCACATACAGTATGAGATTCCCTGCATCCCTCCAATAGAATCCACTGACAATCTCTGGTATATTATGGGCTGTGCTGCTAGTCACAAAGCAACTGCACAATCATTAATCTATAGGAGTGGTGAAGAAAATTGCTCTGGGCTTCTAGTGCAACATATATCAATGACACTGACACAATGTGACAAGCTAAAATAAGAGATGAGCTATAATGAATAGCAGTCTATGTCCTTCACATGCATAACACATACATTAGGCAGCTGACGAAGAGGAGAGTGTGATTCATGAAAGATTATGAATTAACAACTCCTCGAAGGTCACCGCACACATGATGGAAGGAACTAACTCATCTTTTTTTCATTCAATGAACGACCTCCAAAGTTGTTCTGAAGCCCACTGACTTTCATTATATGTATTAAAACAGTTGAAACATTCTTCAAAAATAATGTATTTTGTGCTTTACAAAATAAAGAATGTTATATGGGTTTGGATCGACATGAAGGTGAGAATTTTTTTATGTGAACTATTACTTTAACCCATGCTCTGAATCTAACTCTGACAGTTTGTGGAGAGCTCTGGAAAGCTGTTAACTTTCAGCTGTCCCTCAGCGGCAGGAATGGGAAGGATAAACACTCATTTATTTCCCCCTGTTCAGACTGCTGCACCTGCAATGCCGCTTATTATTACTGCCTACCTCAGGGACTGAACTTTGGCGGTAAAGAACTGACCGTATGAGTATGTGGGTGGGGTATATCTGTGTCAGAAGGCTGCCAACTATACTGTCCAAGTAGAGATGTCTTGAAATGAGCTCCAGCTCTCTACCCTGCAGGGCTCCAAAGTCCTCATTCAGGCTGAGGACAGCTTGCGGATTCTTGGAGAGAAGTCTGGATATCATCCACTTCCATGGCTCTTCAAAATGAGGGAACTCTGGCAGCCAGCTACAGTGAGCTGTTGACATTAGGTCTAATTGAAGGAGGGCACAGGAGCTTGAAGTGCTATGTGCAGTTGCAACTGTAATCCCCACAACTAGGAATCCCAGAAACCTGAGTCTGCACGATTTCAAAGAATAATTTCGGGAAACACATCAAATTCGGAAAGAAGCATCTAAGATTAGAAATAAATAAATTAGAAAATATAAGATTAGAAATAATAGTTTGTGATATGAACATAGATGGGAACTAGTATAACTGCAAAATGATAATATAAGTGATAACACTGATATTAATTGATTCAATGAACATGTGAGACCTATTTCATTTGAAATTACACAATCTACAAATGTCAATATTGTATATATATATATATGCATATGCATGTATGTATGTATGTGTAATATTTATTCTATTATTCTAAAGATAAAATTTATTCTATTTCTCATATAAATGTAAAATCATAGAAATTGTCTATACACTGGGTCACCATTTTCCCAGCACTAAACTCTAAACGATTTAGGGAATGAAGCAATGATCCATAGAGAATGAACAAATTAAGTAGCAAATCAGAAACTGGCCAATGAATTGCAAGAACAATTAGGTACATTAGCAATCAAAAACACATTAAAATATAATGTGCTATAGACCAAAGAGCAAACCTTATATATAATCTGTGATATGTATATTCAATATATGTATAGGGCTAGCAAAAATTGGGGGAGGATAATTTCTGTCTGAACTCACATTGTCTATTGAAATAACTAATCTAAACTAGGAAAGGAAAGGACATGTGGCACTGCATTTAACCTATCCAAGTGTACATACACAGCAGTGAGTAGCAAACACACACACACACACACACACACCATGAACACGCACCCGGAGCAGTGGGCGCCCGGGGAGCAGTTGGAGGTTTGGTGCCTTGCTCAAGGGTCTCACCTCGTGGTATTGAAGATGGAAGAGTGACCAGCGCTGGTCACTCACTCCCGCAACCGACAATTACTGCCGATACCGATACTGAAACCTTTGGGTTACATGGCTGACTCTCTAACCATTAGGCTACGACTGCCCCTAAACTAACTAAACTAAACTAAACTAAACTAAACTAAACTAAATCTAATAAGCTAATATATAATAAATAAGCTTATACGTATATATTCTGATTTGTTATAAGGCTGAACTACTGTAAAACTAATTTTACCAAACAAATCTGAAATGAAGCAAAGAAAAAAAAACTGGTTTAATCTCAGAAAGAACACGACTACCTCAC